TTTATTCGTAATAGCCAGAATCTGGAAACAACCTAGATGTCCCTCAACAGAAGAATGGATAAAGAAAATGTGGTGCATTTATACAATGGAATATTACTCAGCTATTTTTAAAAAAAGAAATCATAAAATTTGCAGGCAAATGGATGGAACTAGAAAAGATACTCCTGAATGAGGCAACCCAGACCCAGAAAGACACACATGGTATGTACTTACTTGTAAGTGGATTTTAGCCATATAATACAAGATAAGCATACTACAAAGCACAGACCCAAAGAAGATAAGTAATAAGGAGGACCCAAGTAATGATGCACAAATCTCAATAGGAAGGAGAGACAGAACAGACAGAGGTAATGGCTGAAGAGAGGGAACAGGAAATGGGGCACAGAGAATTAAGACAGTGAAGATCAGACCTGAGGAGAGCAAAGGCAAGAGGACAGAATGCCAGTAGAGAAGAGAGAAACTGAGAGTGGGGACATTTCTGTGACAAGCTGGAGACCTAAGTCAGCGTAGGCTCCTTGGACTGTATGAGGGGGATTCAAACAGAGACTCCTAATAGCAGTGATCATAGAGACTGAAGAGGACATCCTCTAACTAGACTAATCTTCTAGTAAAGGGCAGCAAACACCAACCCACCCACAAAACTTTTACCCAACATTTACCCTGCCTATAAGATGTGCAGGGATAAAGATAGAGCAGAGATTGAGGGATTACCCAACCAATGCCTGGCCCAAACAAAGACCCACCCTATAGGAGAGTGCCAACCCCTGACACTATGAATGATACTCTGTTAAGCTTTCAGACAGGAGTCTGTCAGAGTTGTCCTCTGAGAGGTTCTACTCAGTAGCCCCTCAAAACAGATGCTGAGACCCACAACCAAACATGGGGCAATGCGTGGGGAGCTTTGGGGAATAGTAGGAGGAAAGAGAAACAGACCCAGAAGTGACAGGAGCTCCACAAGAAGACCAACAGGGCCAACTAAACAGGGCCCAGAGGGGTTTGCTGAGACTGAATTATCAACCAAGAACCATGCATGACTGGACCTAGGTCACCTACAAAGATGTAGCAGATGGGTAACTTAGGCTTCAAGTGGGTCCTCTAGTACCAGAAATGGCAACTCACTTGCTAGTTTTTAGATCACTTTCCCCTGGCAGGACTACTGCCTTAACAGGCCACAGTGAAAGAGGACATACTCAGTCCTGATGCAATTTGCTGAGCTGGAGTGGGTGGGAAAGGGAGCTCTCCTTTTCTGAGGAAAAGGGGAGGAGAGAGAAGAGAAGGAAAGAAGGTGGGACTGGGAGAGTAGGGAGGGAGCTACAAGGATGCAAAGTGAATAAAATAAATAAAGATAAAAAAAAGTCTAGGAATAAAGCTTTGGATTTACATGTCTATTTAAGTGAGTTTCAAAAAAGAACTCAAGAAAATTCAATTATAGATTCATGATTTCTTCGTTTAACAGTGGTGGTACAAGTGCAAGTATACACCCACATGGAAAATAATGAATTTGAACTCCAATTTCACTGAAAAATGAAATAAATTTATATTTCATAGACTGAAATATAAATGCTAAGCTATGCATTTTAAGAATATAAATTCTCCTAACCTTAATGCTAAGCAACTGTTTCTTAGATACAAATAAAAATGTAGCTAAATAGAACTTAAAACTAAAATTTTATTCTCCAAAAGACATCAAGAAAGTGAAAATGAATCTATAATGTAATAAAAAATTTACAGTTTTATTAAGAACATAAAAAATTCATGCAGAAATTTGAATGAATAACCCAACTTTTAAAAACATGAAAAAAAGTAATAAGATATTGACCAAAGATATGAACAAATGACCAAAAACCACATGAAAAGGTGCTTAACTTCACTTGCCACTGCAGAAATTTACACTAAAACTACAACAAAATAGCACTCTATCCATAGACAAAAAGCAGGCAAAAATACTCTCATAGCTCTGGAGAGAAAAGGCAACCCTTCCCCCATTGTCAGTGGGAAGATAAAATAGTTATACCTTCCAAAGTAGTCTGACATTTCCTCCATGTCAACCAGAAAATCAGCATATGTCCAGCAATCCTACTGTTTAGTATATCCCAAGAGACCAAGATAAAAAAAAAAAAAAAAAAAAAAATGTCCACATAAAATCTTGGGCGTGGAAGCACTTGGTACCCTGCTTGCCGCTTTTGCATGAGGACCTGAATCTGAATATTCTTCACCCATATCAACTCTGGGTTTGCAGCATGTGCTTGTAACGCAGCACTGCATGGTATGGGGAGAAACAGACAGACCCTGGAGCATTCTGGCCAGGCAGCGTAGCGAGCTGATGACCTCCAGGATCAGTGAAAGACCCTATCTCAAAAAACAGAATGGGGTGCGATTAAGAAAGACACCCAACATCAGCTTCTGACCTCCACATGTGCATGTACATGAGTACAAACACCTGCACACACATGTACACACACATAAAAAAACAAACATCACTACATATTTGGCAGAATTCTTTAAAACAGTGCAAAATGGAAACAATCTAAATCTAACTGCTCACCAACTTACTAATGCATAAATAAAATGTACTTTATCTGTAGTGTGAAATAGATTTCAATGATAAAAGTAAATGGATCCTATGTGCCTGCAATTCTAGCACTCAGGAGGTATGGGTAGAAGGACCTCAAATGCAATACTAGCCTGAGCTACCTAATGAGTTCAAGGGCCAGCCTCAGCTACACAGTAAGACCCTGTCTCAAACAGACAAGGTGTAAGGATGAAGCCAGCAGAGGACTTGCCTGGCATGCACAGGGCCTGGGGTCTTCTCTATGGAACTACAGTTAGGGAAATGTGACATGAATGCTTCATGCTACACATGAATTTCCATGACAAATGGAAAAATCAGCCACAGAACACCACACATAGAATGATCTATAGCTGTGGAAAGACGACAGTCTATGGCTACTGTTGGTATAATGTTCTTTTGAAATGTATACACCTTACCCTTGGTCATTCAAATGCTGATTTCTCTCCCCCACTCTCTGGTTTCAATCCGGACATTGCATTGTGATACTTTTTCTAAGCATCACCTGTCTCAACCCGTGTAAACATGACAAAATAAAACAACCAGCCACAATGTTGAGCAATAGAGAGGAAGGAATAGGAAGAAGAGAGGGAGGAGCCAGAGGACAAGAAGGTGGGAGGCAGAGGAGGACAGAAAGGCAGGAGCAGAGGAGAGCAGAGGTGGAACAAGAATGAACCAGACCTAAGATTTCACAAAAAGTAAGTATAATGGGTAAAATCTACATAACAGGAAACTATGAGGGCTTGGAGGTTAAGGATGGAGTAACTATTGCCCAGCACTGTGTTCTAGGTTAATTAAATAAATCCCAGTCTCTGTTGGTGATTTGGTTATACAGCTTTTTGGATTAACAGCAGCATTACTAAAAGATAAACCAATAGTAAATATTAATCGCAATCTACAACAGGCTACCAAGGGTTGTTGAAGAGAAAGAGGAAGAGAAAGCAAAATGAGTACTAATTGGTGTCAGGGTTCATCCTGAGATAATAAAAATGTTCTAAAATTAGACCATGATGAGATTCTGAGTATACAAAAAAAACTGTAAACTATACAGTTAAAGAAAAAGACAGCCAGGCTGTAGTCTGATGCTTCAGTTCTTTGATCATGTTTCAGAACATATTTTTTTAACCTCTCAGATTCATAATTAAGCATATTCTCAGTAGAAGACTCTGAATTTTAAATGACTCTAGGAACTAAGGCAATGTTATCAGATAAAAATAAATTGGAGCTAATACAATACTAGCAAGTACTTTTTTAGATTTATTTTTTAATTGTATGCATGTGTTAAGGGTGGGCCTGTGCACATGAGTGAAGGTGCCCACAGAAGCCAGAAAAGGGTATCAGATGCCCTGGAACTGAAAATGGAAGCATCTAACAGGGGTGCTGTGAACCAAAATCAGGATCTCAGCAAGAGCAAAATATATTCTTAACTGACGGGCTATCTGTCCAGCTCCAGACAATGTTTTTTAGTTTAAGTTAATAAGAGATAGCTATAGATAGACAGATAGATAGATAGATAGATAGATAGATAGATAGATAGATAGATAGATAGATAGATAGATAAACAGACAGAGGTAAATAAAGCAAGTTATGCGAAAGTTTTTCAGCTAACTCTACCTCCATCATTAGCGCTATTTCAAAGAGGCACTGGCTTCAGTTTCTTCCTCGTGGTTAGTCAATTTATCATCTCAAGGGAGAGCAACACCAACAAAATTATTCTGGGTCTGCTAACTATGATGCTGACTTAAAAGGCATGTGAGGACTGAAGATGACATCTGATGTCATTATCAACTTGGATGTTTGATGTTTCCCAGTTTTCCAGACTACAAATGAAAGCTGTGGGATACTCAGCAACACACAGAATGTGTTAACAAAATGGAACTCATAATGGGTCAAAAAATGTCTGTAACATGCCAGGAAATACTCATTGAGATGAAAACCAATTTCTCAGTAAAGTGTGAAATTAAAAGCATTTCTTATCCTCAGCCACTAATAGATCAGACCACACATCAGTTGTGTGCCAGCCATTGTGAACAATACAAGAGAAGCAGGAGATATTATGACACTAACAGATCAGTATGTGGATCCTAACGTTTTTAAACACAAAATGGGCTCAAAGATTAACACTCTGAATGTTCATGATTTGAAAACTGTGCAGGGTACAGGAGATAACATAAATCCCTGGAAACCCTTGACTTACAGTGACTTTGTTTTAAAAGTTGGGAAACATGGCTCAGCACTTGCTCGTTTTGCAGAGGACCCCAAATCACTTCACAGCACTGCATCTGATGCCTTACAATTGTCCTTAGCTCCAACTCTCTCATCAGGCCTCCACGGGCATCTTCATGTACATACACATATACACACACAGACACATGCACGCACACACACACGAGAGACTTCTCAATTTTTATAATTTTTAAAGCATATTTACCTTGCAGTTCACTTTCCTCCACCTCCACATCGGAATCACTATCTTCATTGTTCTGCACAGCAGCCATTTTTCTTTCATGCATCTTTCTCTAGAATGGTAAAAGGATACTTTTCAAATTTGCTCCATCTTTAAAGTCAGCAGCTTCCAAAGGAATCAATTTTTTGTACTCTACCAACCTTGGACAACAGCTCACTGCTCCACAGTCTAACCCCCTTGGGGACGCTGATGATGCATTCCACGGATTTGTTCAGTGTCTGCTGTATGTCTTCCAGGGCAGGAGTCATAGCAATGTTCGGAATGGCCAGAGTGATGTTTGCCCGGAAAATGGGGAGATGGCTCTGTTTTGCCTTAGATGTACTGTTACTGTCTGAGTTAATATGCCATTTTTAATTGAAAATGGTATACTAAAATTTAATATTTAACAAAATTCTAAAGCATGCATAATACACATTTAATCAGAGAAATGTTTGCCAAATTATTGAGTGCATGGATATTTAAAGATATTGTTTTACTCAAATAACAGCAATTCTGTGCATCCCAAATCATTCTGCTGATTGTAGTTTGCTGGTAAGTCTCCATAAAAGAAAATCTTCAGTGTAGATTCAGGTTAATTGTGAAGTCTTACATAAGATTTTAAAATGGTGGTGGCAAGTAGCAGGATGCCAACAGTAAGTTAAATGCACAGTTAGCACATAAGACATAGGAGCAAATACTATAATAGTGAAAGTTACAACAAGCAATTTTTGGAATTTCAAATAAAACACCTACCACAATGAACATATTCCAAACTTTGGAGCAGTTGCCACGTGTAAGAAAAAATTAAATATAACTCATAATTTATAACAATGGGGTTTTATATATATATATAATATCTATATATATATATAAATATATATATATATTTACACATATATATATACACACACACACACACACACACACATACACACACACACACACACACACACACACACACACACACACACTCTAAGATTAACCAATAGGCAAACTGTGCAAGATCATACCCCGGAAGTTAATCATGTGGGAAAGATGAATGCGCTTGCGAATGGCCTCAAGTGTATTCCTTGTCACTTTCAAAAGAGCATCCATGTTTTGATGGTTAAAATGGGAAAGCAGCTCACGGGCATCCTCTAACATCTCACTCTCTTTCTTCTTCCTTGCGATTGCTGTCAAAGGCAGATGACAGGCCCCAGCATTAAATGTAGATGCCAAGGCCTCAGAATGCCCTTCTCTTACTCCAGAGAGAGAGAGAGAGAGAGGCAGAGAGAGACAAAGAGAGACACAGAGAGACAGAGATCCATTAAATTGCAGCGGGAAATCAAAATAAATTAGATGCAAGCTCAATGTCAGTTAAAAGCCCTGCATCTGAGAAAGTGAGATCACTGAAGAAAAGGAAAAAGAAATCAGAGCATAAAATGGCCTAGTAGAGACCATCTCAGTGTGAGAAAACATCCAATAACAGATCAAGGACTATAATTTTAAAGTTCTACTGGCCACTCAAGACCTGTGTTCTGGTGTGTTCTCTCCCAACAATAGCACTAAAGACCATCCTCCCCCTCCTCTCTGTAGGAAAAGGTTTGTTTTAATTTGCAGAGTTTAACACGAAATAATAAGAATAAGCAACCAAGCCATTGCCACTTGAAAAGAATCATTTCAGATTTATAAATATTGGTATAAAATTGGGGTAGTATTTATAGAAGTATGAAATTGATTGTTGTGTAAAAATTTAAATTTTGGTTTTCAGTAAATATCATGGAAAAAAAAAAGCAGACTGTTTCATTGCCTCCTCTCTTACCTGAAGTGTCACCGTAAGAACTGGCATTCTCACGACAGACATTTTCACTCGCTTCTTCAGGTGGGACACCCACATCCAGTAACATGTTTATTAGTTCATTTACAGCTTCCTCCACCAGGGAGCTTTTAAAATGGAGCATCTGAGCACCATTCACACACAAGTCCTAACAACAAGAGGAACAAAAGATGATCATTTTTAACTAGCTCTTGAAAGTTCATCAGGAAGAGCAGGAAGAGCGCAGATTTAGCCTCCAACTGATAATTTAGCTTCAGTGATGGTTTGACTTTGTGGTGGTTAATCTTAGTTGCCAACTTGGGATCTGGAATCATGTGAGTTAGGAAAATCTGTCTGGAGTGAGTGGTTCCATTCCTTGGGCGTGGACCCTACTCTATAAAAAAGGGAAGAACAGGAATGGAACTTAAGCATTCATCCTTCTTCACTTCTCTAGCAACAGGAACACCTGTCTTAAGCTCCTGCTGCTCTGAGATCCCCGCCATGATGGACTGTACCTCGAACCACAATCAGCCCTTCCTTGCTTAAGTTGCTTTTGTCATGATATTTTATCACAACAATATAAAAGGTAACTAAAACAGCAACATACTCCCTGCTGCCCTAGCCAGACATTCTAAGGAAAAAAGCATTAAAGAAAGAGAACCAACGGGAGCAGGGTGAAGAGACCAAAGCTGCATTGATTTCCCAGCACAGGGAGGATAACTCCCAAAGACATCAGCGGCCTCTGGTCCCATGAAATTTTTTTCATATGGTGTGAATCTACCCTTTCCAGCTGTCTTCCCTTCTCATCATTTCTGGCAAGCCATTGGCATGTACCTCACTTAGGATCTATACCCGCTTCAGGTAGGTTGCACCTTTCTTAGAATTGAAAACAAGACAAATATAGCACAATACTAAGCACTGTGGTAGATGCTATGACAAATCTATAAAGATAGGTAAAACACACAGAAGGCTTTCTTTTACCACCTATTTGGAGGAAAACACAACGAAAATAGACTTTGTTTGTTGGTCACTGTTCCCAAATCCATCTCAAGTTTCACTGACTTACATACTGAGATTCTAACATATTCATGTACTATTACATATCAGACCATCTGTGGTTCTCATACCTCTTCATTCAGCAGCCTTGACTTCTACTTACCCCTCTTTGGCAATAGACGTGACATGTTGATGCCATTAGAGTGAATGTTTTAATGTATCCTGGAACAAACTTTGTTATTACCAAGAAAAATATCAAATGACAGCTTCACTCAACTCAACTTCACCTAACGACAAATCTTTACCTGGCTTTATTTTGTTTTGTTTTTGAAGCAGAAGATAGGAAGTAAGTGCTGCTGTGAAAGGCTGGTGTCTGGAGATGACATGACTATTACACACATAAAAACTCACAACAACTAGCTGCCTACACAAGACCAAGCCAGTTAAAACTTCCGGCATGGAGAGGGAGTGTCTACTGAGGCCCCACCCCTAGCTGAGGAGAGCTGACAGCTACTGGGCAAGGAAGAGTCAGTTTTCCCTGAGGGGTAACCACAGGCAGGTTGCCTGTCCACAGGCATGTGCATACGGGTGACATTAATTGGACTCAGTATGTTATTTCAAAAAGAAGAAAGAAAGAAAGAAAGAAAGAAAGAAAGAAAGAAAGAAAGAAAGAAAGAAAGAAAGAGAGAGAGAGAGAGAGAGAGAGAGAGAGAGAAAGAAAGAAAGAAAGAAAGAAAGAAAGAAAGAAAGAAAGAAAGAAAGAAAGAAAGAAAGAAAAAAAAAAAGACTTGAATTTAGAAGGGGGACCAGGGGAGTTGGAGGGTTGAACTGACTGGTGGGGGTATGATTAAGATGCATGATAAACATGTATGAAATTTTCTAAAAATAAATTTTAAATGTTTTATGTTGTTGCATGTATTCCATATGGTGACACATGTTTCCAGAACAAAGGAAGTCTTCAAGAAGTACTATTGTTAACTAGCAAATGACATTCAAGCAAGGATCCTGCTTGCCACACTTGTTTGCCTCATTCTATTTTTTTTCTTTTTTTTTCTTTTTATTTTTCTTTTTAGTTACAATTTGTTAACTCTGTGTCCCAGCTGTATCCCGCTCCCTCATTCCCTCCCCCTCCCCAACTCCCTCCCTGGTCTCCTCCCTGCCCCTTTCCAAGTCCACTGATAGGGGAGGACCTACTCCCCTTTCATTTGACCCTGTTTTATCAGGTATCTTCAAGGCTGGCTGCAAAGTCCTCCTCTGTGGTTTGCCTCATTCTGAATCAGTTAACTCCTTGTTCCCTAAGAAAGCCTTAACATTTTTAAAACTGTCTCTTGAGTCCTTTGACTCTATGTTAAAGAGGCTCAAAATGGACCTTAATTTCATCTCCCATCCTCAAGGCAGGCTCCCCCAGGAAGTAAACCCTCAGGAGACTTCCTCACAGTGGCTCCAGTTTCCTCAGCAACAGGAGCATGTATTTGAACTCATAGAATTCCTTTGTACTGGGGTTTTGGAAGACAGCTCTCAATAATTAATATTACTCCAACAAGATTATTCAAATCTTTCAACTTTTTCTAAGAGGAGCCATGATTATAAAAGTGCAAACAGCATAAAAATCAATAAAGCAGAATATAAACAGAATGAAGACAATGTTCCTATTTCAAGCAAAACAAATCTCATCTCCATAGTGACAACAGGCATGGAAAAGTGTCTGTCTTTGAGTCCCCACCATCCCTTTCTTTACTAAGCAGCTAGCACAGAAAGAGAAAAGCCCAAGAGGCTCCAGCCCTACACAAAGAACTACAAGCAGCTAAGGAATGAAGAGAGCAGAAGAAATAGTCTTTTCCAGAGAAGAGCATATTAGTTGGCTTCCCATACCAAAAGGTCTGCTCTGAAAACATGCATATAAGTAGCTGTATACATATTGAGCAGGCTATAGTTAGGTATTTTGGAAAATATATATATATATATATATATATATATATATATATATATATATACACACACACACATATGTATGTAACAACAATTAATGAAAAAGGAGCCATCAATTTGAAATAGAACAAGGAAGGGAAATGATGTGATTATATATTCCCAAAAACCAAACATAAAAATTAAAAAACAATATATCTATATGAAAAAATTAAAAATTATAAAGCAAATAAACGGTTTGTAGAAATAAGTCAATATAAAGCACTTACTTCTATTGGTAATCAAAATACAGATTAATTTAGGATGTGTGATTTTGCTACTCAAGCTAAAATTAATAAATTATATGTCAGATGGAAGTGAAATTGGTATTATTGTATTATAGCATTATATATCAGGATCATCTTTTAAAAATCAGTTTGTCTATGACTGTAAAGGGTTGTGAAATAGATAAAACCATACAGTTTGACACAGTAATCTTATTTGGGAGCAATGATCCTGAAGATCAAAAAAAAATCATACGTATATATTTATTATAGCTCTTGGCAAAATTTACAAATTTTGGGAGCCATTTAATGTCCAGTAGAAATAAACAATATATATCATCTGAATAAAATGTTATGAAGGTATCATGCCTGTGAAAGCCATATAGTGTCATTATATATATATATATATATATATATATATATATATATATATATATATAGCAAAGAAATACTAGCTAAGAGGCAAAAAGTAAAAGCACTGTGAAAACCTGCTATGAATACTATAAAAGTCATGAAATACATAACAATCATAACGATAGTGATGTGATTGCTATAAATTCTAGTTTCTCTATTTTTAAAATCTAAAACTTGGATTTCTAATATTTCAGCTACATTTTGTAAACAACAAAGAGCTAAGTGATGTCTCTTCAAATGAGAAGAGAACTTAAAAATCAGCAGGAAAAAAATTAAAAGTTATCGTGAAAAAGTCAAACATAATTCTAAAATGTAGGCATTAAGTTACAATCAGCTAATAACAAGCTAATAGAAATTGAAGTTCACCATCTATGCCAAAGGGTGTTAACACTAAATGCCTCGTCCTGTCTTTTTAAAGGGTTACCTGTGCATGTGAAACCCTCCTCATCCAGGAGATCAGATTCAGGTAGGTTCTCACTGCTATCTGGCTAAGAAACATGGGTTTGTGACTAGACTGCTTCTGTAAGCAATATGGTTTATACCAAATACTTGATTCCTAATAAAATTCAGAGCCTTTTCACAAAAAGCAAACTGTTCCATGGTGGCAGAAACCAATAAAAACTTAGAGTATTGGGACTCAAGAGGTGGCTCAGTGTATAAGTTGCTTGACCATTTTTTTTTTTTATCTTAGCTGGAGACCTGGGATGGAGGAGGCTCCCAGGAGTCAATGGAAGTGACCATAGTTGAGACACCTGGTAGCTGGAGATATGGAGCCTGAATATGTCACCTCCTGTAACCAGGAGGGACTCCCAGTGGAAGGAGGTGGACACCAACCCACCACAAAACCTCAACCCCAAAATGTGTCCTGCAGATATGCAGGGATAAAGACAGAGCAGAGACTGAGGGAATGGCCAACCAATGAGTGGCCCACCCTGAGACCCACCCCATGAGACACTCTGCTATGCTTGCAGACAAGAGCCTAGCATAACTGTCTTCTAAGAAACTTCATCCAACAACTGATAAAAACAGATGCAGAAACCCACAGGCAGACAATGGGCGAAGCTTGTGGAATGTTGCTGAAGAGTGGCAGGAAGGAGAAAGGGAGCCTGAGGTGTCAAGGATACTACAAAAACACCTACAGAGTCAACTAACCTGAGCCCATGGGGGCTAACAGAGACTGAACCACCAACCAAAGAGCATGCATGGACGGAACCAAAAACCCCTACATATACGTAGCAGATGTGCAGTTTGTTCTTCATGTGGTCCCCTACCAATTGGAGCAGGGGCTGTCTATGACTCTGTTGCTTGCCTTTGGATCCCTTTCTCCTAGCTCGACTGCCTTGTCTGGCCTCGGAGGAAGAGGATGCACTTAGTCCTGCTGTGACTTGATATGCCAGGGCAGGCTGGTACCCAAGGGTGGGAGAGAGGGTGTGTGAGAGTGGGATTGAGAGGAGATGCAGGGACTACAGTCAGGCTGTAAAGTGAATAAATTAATTAATTAATAGGAAAAAAGAATGCTTACTGCTCAGAGTCAGAGTTCAGGCCAAAAGAGGCTATAAGACTTAGCTCCAGAAATATGATGTCCTCTTCTGGCCTTTGTGCACATGTACCTCACCCCTACACCACATGCACACACACACACATAAAATAAAATTTTAAATAAAAAAAATTTTTGAGTGTCAAGCAATAAACTTCACTGAGCAGAAAGTTTGCGCATGGATTGTTGCAGTTTCCTTGTGAGTGAAAAGAGTTCTCCATGAGTCCTCACTGGAAAGAGATAGCATAAGGAAGACTGCACCAGGCTTCTCCCAGATCCCTTCTGTATCATCTGGCTATTGTCCCTCTGTCTTGGTGATGAATCCCAGCTACAGTGTATTCACAAGCTGAATGTAATGTAATGGGTCCTTCTGCACCGCTGGACAACAGTATTAAAGCCGTCATTGAAGAGTTCATATTGCCAGAATACCCATAGGGAATATTATAAATGAAGCTAACGTGCCATTCCAAAAAGGTGTACAACCTCTCTGCTAGTACCTTGGTTCTAAGTAGGAAAAAGGTGCCCCGTTTTCAAGGGTGCTTGGGAAATAAGGGAGACTTTCTGAGAGTTTTATTTTCATATACTGAAGTGTGATGAACCTGGAAATGCAGTCTCTGCCATGAATAGTTTAAACACAGCATCTGTTCTTTGCCAGCTTTCCTAGGGACTAGTCTAGAATGCTAGGCTTCAAAATACTAGTTTAGAAATGGCTCTTTGGATGTGCTTGAAGAAACCTTGCCAATAAGATGTCCCAACTACTTCACAATCTACTTCAAATTTAACCCTTGCTAACTGAAGTTCTTCAAAACAAAACCCTCTGCCCTTCATAAAACATGAAAAAAATGGAAATGTATGCCACAGCAGTTCCCCTCCAACTGATCTGAAGCGAAGCAATTTACGAGCAGCTGCTTAAATAACATTTTCTTTATCTTCATGTTGTCAGGCGGTTCTACATTTGAATCACTTCTATCATGGAGCAAAATAGAATTTTTTTAAATTTAACTATGCTTCAAATATGCCCTTTATCTTTAAAAAGGTTAATTCAAGAGTTTTTTTTTTTTTTTTAAATCAGCTTCTGATAACCTTTGTCATTTGGAGGAATCCGTCACAAGTAAGGGGGTCCTCCTGAGGGAGCTGACAAAGCGGCATGCTGCTCATTTCTTCCAGGATGGCATTGATGCGGAACTCAATCAAATCATTGACCCGGTCAAGCAGCAGCTCCAGGTCCTCTTTAGGAAAAACAAAATGAACAACAGATTAGGTAAAGCATTTCCTTAAACATGGACATGTGACTGAATGACAACAGAAGCATCAGGATTAAAACTGCTTGGGTCATACATATCTGCCTTAGTTACCTTTCTATTTCTCTGAAAAGACACCATAATCAGGACAACTTATAGCAGAAAGCACTTAATGGGGGCTTTCTTACAGTTTCAGAGAGCGAGTTTGTGATCATTGTGGTGGGAAGCATAGAAAAAGGAAGGCAGGAATAGCTCTGGAGCAGTAGCTGAGAGCTTACATGTTGAGTCAAGAACCACTAAGCAGAGAGAGCACACTAGGAATGGTATGGGTTTTTGAAACCTCAAAGCCTACTCCCAGTGGCATACTATCTCCGAGTTCTACAGAGGGTGAAGGCATTCAAATATATGAGCCTGTGGGAGCCATTCTTATTAAAAGCACCACAGTGTCCTTCGAACCTTTGGCTGCTCCGCAGGTAGCTGCTGCACACAGTTCCTCCTTTAACACTTACAACTTTCCTAGCTGCCTGGCTCTGATTTATCTCCCCAGAAGGTCACCTATGACTGTGTGTGGAGACTGGTCCTTGATCTTACATTACCTATCACCTGAGCATTCTTCCATCTTTGTGTGATCATGCTGGCTACTCTGATGATTCATTGTTCTATCATTATATCGTGAACATTCACATCAGTGCCCATTCCACAGATAAACAACTGGGATTGGAATTAAATTCTGAACATACTAAAATCTGTACACCCAAGGAAGCTAATCAGAAAAGACTCTGGCTAAGATGCTCAATCCCATTCAGAAAGGCAAAAAGGATGGACATCGGAGGAGGGAGAAAACAGGGAACAGGACAGGAGCCTACCACAGAGGGCCTCTGAAAGGCTCTACCCTGCAGGGTATCGAGGCAGATGCTGAGACTCATAGCCAAACTTTGGGCAGAATACAGGGAATCTTAGGAAAGAAGGGGGAGAGAGTAAGATGTGGAAAGGACAGGAGCTCCACAAGGAGAGCAACAAATCCAAAAAGTCTGGGCACAGGGATCTTTTCTGAGACTGATACTCCAGCCAAGGAACACTCATGGAGATGGCCTGGAACCCCTGCACAGAGTAGCACATGGCAGTTCAGTATTCAAATAGGTTCCATAGTAATGGGGACAGGGACTGTCTCTGACATGAACTGATTGGCCTGTTCTTTGATCACCTCCCCCTGAAGGGAGAACAGCCTTACCAGGCCACAAAAGAAGACAATGCAGTCACTCCTGATGAGACCTGATATATTAGGATCAGAGGAAGGAGAGGAGGACCTCCCTTACCAGTGGACTGGGAGAGGGACAAGGGTGGGGAAGAGGGAGGGTGGGATTAGGAGGGGAGGAGGGAGGGAGCTACAGGGGAAATCCAAAGTGAATAGATTTTAATTAATAAAAATAATTAAATAATAAAAAAGAAGAAAAAGAAATTAAATTCTTCTTTTTAATAGTCCCTTAAATCAATATCTTCACTTCCTAAATAATAAATACCTAAGTTTCAATACTTTTTAAGCTAATTATTCAGGCAACTGGTCAATATACCAAATGGTTCTTACTGACAACAGTATGCAGTGAAAAAAACCAACCAAACAAACACTTCTACTTAAGTGTGCTCACTCAATAGAAATCTCTTGTTTCTTCCTGCACAAGGTCCTGCACAAGATCTTCAAAGACATTTGTGGCAAAATATATATATTATATAATATATATATAATACATAATATATATAATTATATATATTATATATAATATATATCCTAAGGAGATCTCTAATCCTCTGGAAATATTATCGTATGTGACAAAAGAGACTTTGCAGATGTGTTAAGGACCTTGAGCTTGGAGGACTATTCTGGATTATCCAGGCAGAGCTGTTACAAGGACATTTTAAGAAAAAGTCAGGAAGGTCAGGGTGGGAAAGAGAAGAGTTTGGCCCTGGAAATGTGACTGAGAGAAAAGCTTGGCCATGAGACACAGCTAGCTCCAAACATGACACAGTCATTCTCCTGCAGATGAGGGCAGTCTATAAGACCCAGAAGATGCTGAGGAAAGGACCCGTGGCAGAGTTTCTGGGAAGAATCTTCTCTGAAGATGCCTTGATGGTAGCGACATGAGACTCTGGGTTTCTGACGTCTGTGATTTGCATTATATGAAGCCATGAAATTTGTGGCGAGTAGTTGCAGCAGCAACATAAGAAAAAGCAGCAGCACAGGGTACCAAATCAGGCCCACTCAAGTTCTGCTGATGATTTCAAAGAACAGAAATTTTTTTTACAAATGTGTGGTCCAATTAAACATCTGCAATTCTAAAGGTTGGTTCATTTATTCCAATTCATTATCCAACTGTTCTTGAGAGTTAACACTGTTTGTTTACACTCATCAAAGAAGCTCTTTTATGCAGCAGATTGAGACCATCACAGATAACCACAAATGCCAAAGTACAGAGAACAATTGACCATGAGGTGCTCAACCATAATGGCTACATGTACAATGATGCTTAATTTTGTTCTTCATTGTCTTCTTAAGTTTAATTTACAAAAGAAAACACAATTTAAAAAGGAGAATTGGGATTTCTTTAGAAGCTACCTACTTTTCTCTAGCTAACATCTAATAAAATATCCAAATTGCTAATCCTTATACCTCTCTAGGGAGAGTACTGTTAAGACCACCTTAGCAGCCTGTTCTAATTTGATTGTGATAACTCTCACTATGAAGGCTTTATATACCTTATAAATGCCTCCTTAGAGATTTTAGCCCATTTACTCTTGTTACATTTCCTAAGGAGAGATATTTTGGAGAGAATATTGGTTTAAAGGGAAGGAAACTCATCTTTATTGCTTCTATCTATTCAATACTGGATACCATTAAGCATCTCTGGACTGTTACTTTTAACCTTTAAATTAAGGCTCCTTTTTAAAACTTTTTTGATCCTCCTGATGCCATGGTTATCTAACTGTGCACCTTTCAGTATCCCACTTGTAAACAGGGATGAGCCTAAAATACACTTCATTAATATGCAAACACTCTGTTACAATTTATCTTTGAAACTGGTTCCCACTTAAGCAAGCAAAATTAAAGCAAAAGTATGCAACTGTCTTAGGTAGACTTTCTATTGCTTTGATAAAACACCATGACCAAAAGCAACTTGGGAGGAAAAGGTTTACTTCATCTTAGAGCTTGTGATTCCTTTACCAGAGAACTTAAGACAGGAAGCTGGGGGGAGGAGCTGAAGCACAAGCCATGAGCAAGTACTGCCTACTGGATTATTCCTCCAAGCTTGCTTGGCCTGTTTTTTTTACACGATCCAGGACCACTTGCCCAGGGGTGGCACCATCTGCAACAGCATGGGCCTCCATTATCAACCACCAATCAATAAAATGTTCTGAACTGATATTCCTTCTTCCCAAATTACTCTAGCTTTTGTCAAGTTGGGGGAAAGGAAAAAAAAACTAGCTAACTCACAACTGTAATCCCTTACTTCATTATCTGCCCCAACCCAGCACTTCTCAAATATTCTTCAACATAATGCGCCTGCTAAATTATCATATTAACTACTATATAGTTATTTGGAAGGTACAGTAAGAAACCACTGAGAAGACAAGTTCCTAATAAGTAAAGTTATCAGTAGACTAAGTCCTACCAAGAGTAAGTGAAAGAAAAAGAGCAGTATCACAGCAGTTACCTAGAAGGCAGTCCCAGGAAAGCCTGACCCAGAAAGGAAGTAACATGACAGAGTGAGTTGCAAAAGGTCAGAGAAGTAAAGGAATGGGAATTATGTGGTTTTTTGAGTCTCGAAGTACTGGTACACCAGACGGACACAAGAAAAGTAGAGGAAATAGCATGAGTTTTAAGCCCTTTGCAGTCAGTTTGGGAGAAAGACAGAACTGGACTTCACCATTAGAAGACATGTACAATACTGAACCTCTAGTTCTAGCCATCAGCACAACAGAGGCCCTAGGAGGAGGTGGACATGAAGTAATGTAGTCAGACTGGGATCCTTAACTTCTTATCCTGGGTCATAAAAAGTCTTCGTAGGCAAAATTGGTCCACAAAGAAGAAATAGATAACACCAAGTTGGAAAAAAAAAAGAATAGAAATTTCCACTGTCTCATTGAAGAAATGGCCTTGCCCCTTGCCATCTGTGGTAGGCAGAAGATTACCCCACACCTCACCTAGACAGCGCAATAAAGCTGGCCCTGGTGGCTGAACTACTCAGCTACCACCCAGGCCAAGATACAGGGATTTGAGTTGGCCCATCCCACACCAACCCCATTTATTCAGGATCTCCACAACACAGGGCAACAATAGGAGATCCAAGAGGAGACGCCATGAAGACCCAGTATTGATAGTATAGAGGAAGCCAGGGGCCTCAAACCAGACCAGTGACTCAGTGAAATGAATATTAACAAGTAAAGCTGTTTGGGCAAAAGTGTGTACTTTGGGACACACCATGACACACCGAAGCTTTTGTTTTTGTTGTTGGTTCTTTTTTTGGGGGGAGGGGGGTTGTTTGTTTTCTTTGCAAGGACAAATATGAAAGGATGGAGAGATAAGCGGGATTGGGGTACAAGATATGAAGTTCACACACATAAAAAAAATCAATAAAACATTTTTACAAACTTCTACCACTATGTTCCAATCCGCATGCCCCTGTTTACACAGGAGATCTGGAGGTAATACATTATAAAATGCAGCTATGATCTCCAGGAAATGTCTCATGAAAAAGCTCACTTTTGGACAGTGAGAGACTATGAAAAGCATTCTATAAAACAAAGATTTCTAACTGTTTAATATCCCAATGGAGTTGAGATCAGATTTTCATTGTAGCATACCTATGCTTATTCTGAGAAACTGGATTAAAAGGAATTCGCCGTCTTACATGTATTGTAAGAACTACATCCCTGGTTATGGAAAAGTGGCACTTGCTTAAACTTTCCTCATTTAAGATGCCCTGTCCTTTAGCACTCTACTCCATCCAAATCCAGGTGCCCAAAACCAGAGAGGTCTGCAAATAAGCTCAGTGGTACAGTGTCTTCCTACTGCATGTACAGCTCTGAGTCTGACCTAAAAGAAAAAGGACAAAGATGCGGATAAGGAGGAAGAAGAAGGTGAGGAGGAGGAGAAGGAGAAGAAAAGGAGGTGGAAGAAGAGGGAGAGGGAAAGATTAAAAAGAAAACAGTTGTAATGAACTAATGAATTAGTGTAGAAAGTAAGGGGCCTAAACATTTTTCGGATGCTGATATACAGCAAAAAGAATCAACAAAATTGCATGGAAAATCCCTAGGAATAAAATTAAATAATGAATATTTACAGTTTCTAAGAAAGTACTGAACTCGTTATAGTTTGCTGCTATTCAGTGTGGAGGTTTGCGGCCTTATTCCTCATTTCATTATTTATAACAGCATATTAATAACAAATTATCCAGTAGGCAATAAGAACTTGGCTCCTAAAATGGAGAAATAAAGATCATGTGGACAGACTCACTGATCTTTGCAAAAGCATTTTCTAAATATGTCCCAATATTCAGGGACGTCCAAGTCAGGGCAGCCAGGCCGGGCTGGAGGGCTTCATCCACTCTAGCCAAGTGTGGGACCATCAACTGCTCAATGGCAGGAGGCATTTTCGATTTCACTCTCTGGTATTCGGACAGCATCATCTGCAAAGGAATGTGATTAAACAGCCAGTTTACATGTCACTTTTAATATCTATTAGTATTTTTATCTAAAAAGATAACTTTTATATCCAGGGTGAAATTATTAGGATCTAGTATCCTGGCAGGGCGAACGCTGCAAACAAAATAAAACAGATACTCTCTGTACACCCACCAAATCCTAAGCCAGTAAATTAGAACTGAGAGCGAAAAAGAATTTGAGGATCATTTCTTGGCATCTACCCAGCCCAAAGCAGAGAAAAGTCACGCAACTTTTGTAAACAATGCAAAGTTACAGGAAGAGTATGTCCATCTGTGCCTCACTGTACTTCCATTTTTTATGGGGACACAGTACATCTTCCTGCTATGAGTCTCCTATAGACCACATACACCATTAACAGTTTTGGCACAAGACCCAAAGGGCAAAGGGAGAGTCAAGAATCAGTGCTGATTTCAAGCCGCTTTAAATAACACCTCTTGGCTAATGGAAACGAGCACATTGAAGGCAGGGTAGTAGGCTAAGCCACGCTGTTCATTAACGTCAGTGTAATACATGCACTATTTACTTACAACACTTTCAACCTCACCATAAGTCAAAAGCAACTGCAGAAAAATGCAAGGACAAGATTTCCACTTGTCTTTTCCAATTTCCTTGAAACATTAGCTACTATACAGGACTGGATCAATCAACATCTATTTAATTAATCAATTAGTTGTTATGAGAAAAAGAATTTGTGATCTGAAATGTGAGGGGTTTGAGCTCCACATTAAAAATCACCTACAATATAAAGTCAACATTACTCCCTTTTCATTCCATATGCTATCATTTTCAAACCCACCTAATAGTGCATCCTGACACACTCCTTGCAGGGCACATCAAGGTGCTTCTTAAAGACAGACAGTTTTAAGTCCATGCTTGTACAGAAGGTAAAGGTATTAGTAAAATATTAGATCATTGCCAAAAAAAATGTTCTCACTAGAACAGAAATGGCCTCTGGGTGGATATGTTTGCAAAACTTTAGAGACAGCAGTGTTACAGCTTCTATTCATACTTTTACAGAACCTGTCAGAGGAGCATAGGAAGTCCTGCTGGGCTTTGAGAAGGAAGTGAAACCTAACATCTCCCAAATGAGCTCAGACTTCCTATAATACTTTTCTATAGTTTCATTAATATCCTTTCATTTTCCCCAAAGGCCTCTTGAGAAAGGCCTATATTTGATGATTCTATTAGCAGCTGCTTCCAAATATCCTAAAGCTTTTAGCCACTGCTTACTGCCCCTTTTCTTTTCAATGTCCATTATTTATTCTATCAGAGAAATGGTTCTTAGAATCTGCGTCCAGCAGGCTTTCTACTCCTCACCTTTAATCCTTTAAACCCAAGGAGTACCACTCATCCCTTTTACAAATGAGAAACTGAGGCTTCAAAGGTAAAGTCATTTATCTAGAGATAATGGTTTGGATCCAGATCATATTGGTTTCACAAACTATATTCCACACTATTAGCTCACACTAAGCTCATCTCTTTCCAGTTCCAAATATACATTCCAAGAAAAAGATGAATAAGACAAAGAGCCAGCTACTTTAGCATTTCTGTAGAAACTGAAAACTCTGTTAGATTCCTGCACAGCAGCGCTGAAACTTGGGAGAGCTTTTGTGCCCCTCACGACCACCATGTGTGCCGATAAATCTACTTTCTACCAGCTAGCCATGCTACACAGGGATTCTAACTTTTTCCATCTCCAAGATATAATAAATACCAACCAGATAGTAATTTGCTTGTTCAAATCTTTGGTTGGAACAGTAGTAGCTTTCAAACATTCTTTGCCACTTCTCTTCTTATGGAGTTGGGTCTAAGCACCCTATACTGAATCAGCATGTGCATTCTGAGAGCCGACAGGGCTCAAAAGAAGGATTCTGGGAAACACCTGGGCTGGCACTGAGAACATGTGGACTCTTTATGTAGCACTTCCTCCTAGATAGTGACATAAAGTATTCTACTAGCCTGCGGAGCCCATGCCAGAAACCCTTGTCCATGCCTCAGTCTGCAATTTCAGCTGAGGGAATCATACAATACCCATTCAAACCTTTAGCATGGAACCATGAAAAGTATGCCAAAAAGCCCCTATGTTTTGAAGTTCTGTGTTATTTGCAACATATAACTGAGAAAGACTCTGTGGGGAAAATTATAGTAGTAATTGTATAGCTGTATAAATATGATTTCTTAGTAAAACATTTCTCTTGTAAATATGTAAATTGACCAGGCATTTTTTTTTCTGACACACAAAAAAATTTAAAAAGAATATAAACATGCTGACTAGTGTTTTATGGGTCAACCATAGAGAAATTTAACTTTTGAAGACAATTTTAACTTTTTAATGTTAAAAGAGTAATAAGAAGACAGGAGAGAACAATCCTGGGTTCTGGTCCTAATTCTGTCACTTAGCTATGAGACCTTGACTCTGTCAATCTCTCTGAGCCAGATAGTGCTTTGTCCCACCCATCTTACACGGCAGTAAGAAAGATGACATTAGCTAATGACCATAAACTTAGAACGGAGACAGAGGTCTGCAATCCCAGCTCTTAGAGAGACTGAAACAAAGGATTGGAAGTTCAAGGCCAGCCTGGATTACAGGAGTTAGTGAAGTGTGAGTCCAGAGGACCAAGACCCTGTCCTAGAACACAGTGAAGAGAGCTGAGGGGACAGCTTAGTGCAGGGCACCCGTTAGTGTGCAAACGCCTCTGCACTCAGTGGGCAGTACAGCAAGTGACGAGAGAGGGGCCCAGCCATGAGGCACTGCGCAAGCAGGGCTCAGTGTCATCACATGATGTTAATCACCGTAGTTGCTTTTGAGACAGGGCAACCTCTACTTGCTCCATAGTCAAGGATGACCTTGAACTTCTGATCCTCTTGCTCTACTTGCCAAGTGCCAGGATTACAGCATACACCACCACGGCTGGTTTTCTGTGGCACCTTAGCAATGGTTTCTATGTGTTCCAGTACCAACGCTGCGTCTTTGAACTTTTCTCTTCATCCTTTTGGCAATGGCTTTGTCAGTGACAATCAGTCCTTCCTTGCAGCTCTTTCCTTACTCTCAGCTTCCTGAACGACAGTTTTCATCCTACCTGAAAGTCCATGCCTGGTTTTGTGGCTTGTCATCTACCACTAGATGTCATCTACTTCTACTGTTAATAATGAAACAACCTTGTGTCTTATCCAATAGCCCTCTACTCCTTTCTGTCTCTGCCCCTGCCCAAAAGTTTTCATCCAGGACAATGACATTACTAACAGCTAAATCTTGCACTTCCAGAAAGCATGATTCCAACTTTGAATGTTCCATTGAGCTCCAGGCTTCTAGATATAATTGCCTGGGTACCGATGGCCACACTGATGTCCAAAAATCATCTTGGACTTAGAATAGGAACTTGAGATTCTAATGCCCCCCCCCAAATAAACCATTTCAAGCATCTATCATCCCAACAAATGATTTACAGTCAAAGCTACTGCATATCATTGTGCAAGTTGTATAAAATACAACTGTCTGCCCGTGAGTGGTCAACTCACTTCAGTTCCCCCTGAGTGAACTGAAAGAAAGAACATAAAACAAAATAACAAATGAACTCTAGAAGCATCCAGGAAGGGGGAAATAAAGTACTCTACCTTCATGTCACTGAAGTTCTTTTTGTACACATCCCGCTTCTCGAAGAGGGCAGATGCAAGTGGTGAGACCGGGAGACCCATCTGGGACATGCACTGAGTTTCTCTAAATAAGATTAATATCTGGGGATCAAAGTTCACAAACAATTCCCCTGTGGCTGGAGCCTTCACCAGTAAGGAAGCCTCGAGACCTTTGTGAATTTCTTCGATCTGTGGAGGACGCCAACACTGTTACCATCAGAGTGTGATGCATGCATTGTATCTGGCTCAACCTCTCGGGCCTCGGTAAGTGCTTATTCAGTATTCTCCCATGGGCTTGACCTTGCAAAATTCCAGGCAATGGGGTCACTCACTCTACTTCCAAATTCCCTCTGAGAAAACAGCCTTCAGGTTCTTGTTGGTGATGTTGCACAGTCTACTGAATATATTATTTTCATTCCTGAGACTCTCACATGACAGGCAAACACTACAGTAGCCTGGGTGATTTTTAAAGAGACATTTAGCTCTTTATACCTAATTAGTTATATTTCATGATAAAAGTTACACAAACCTAGCTGATCTCACTTTTTATTTAACTAGAAAGTCAATAGGCATAGCTATACAGCTATTATGTCTTGCTGACCTTTAAAGAAATTTAAGTATTGGTGGGATATATCTTGATTCCATACTAATACAACTAAATAAAACAAAAGACTTCTTTCTACAGACACGCTTGCATTTGCTAACACATTCATGATCTGTGTGTGTGTTCTGCTGCAGATAAAACCCAATGTCTCATGCCTGCTAAGTAAATGTTCCAGCACTGAACTGTACCTCTGATGAGGATCTTACCGAATTTTTAAAGGAGAAAAAAATAGGACCCCTAACTGACAGGATGGTGAAATGTGACTTTCTCACTTAGGTTATAAATTAAACAATAAGCTTTTATTACTTAGCTTAGTCTTTTTTCAATATTAATAAGTATCTTCTTTCACTTTTATGTTATACACATTGATGTATTAAGTGCAATCAAACTGTTGTATCCATGGCAAATGCTGGAAAAGGATTCCCTCCATCTGGACAATAGACAGCATTAAGAAGCATTCACTCAGGAATTCACCTGCTGAAGCCACGCCCTGTGGTAGAGGACCTCAAACTCCAATAGGACCTTGGCTATCTTGTTGTAACTGCGGATCACAGGCTTGGCCTCCTCTGTCTTCAGCACAGAGGGGTGCTGCTGGAAGAGCTGCATTGGCTGCTCCAGCCTGTGAAATAGCTGCCGGGCCCACAAGATCTGCCCAGCTATGGGAGGCTGGTTGCGAGCCAAGGGAGGGTCGTATTTCTGTTTCGTATAGAGCTTAGAAATCATGTCGATGTCAGCCCCAAAATTCTGAAAAACTGTTTGGTATTTTTCCTCAATACGAAGGTTAGGTATATTCAATCTGATTGAAACATAAAAAAAAAAATACAAAGTATTCGATTAATGAGAATATATATATATATTAAATCTTACTTAATAACATTCACTTTAAAACAGTCCAGCTGAAAACAATGGAATAGTTGTGTGGCGTGTTTAAAAGAACCAAAACAGTTTCAATCCTTACAAAGCAAAACCACTAACCTGAGAAGAATTATGTCAAATTATTCAGACATTAGGCAGTATTACTACAGGCAGCTGCAGACCACTTCAAAGCTAAGAGTATTCTCTATTGACAGAGATGAAGCAAATCCCTAATCCTTCCAGGGATTAATCCTCCTTAGCCTCTGAAAAACTTAAAACCTGTGACCTTGTGACTCAGACTGTCAAGAGAGGCTTTTCTTCACATTAGAAAGCGAAGTTATAATGAGAGTTATAATTACAACAAAAGATAAGCTATAAAAAGAAGCTAAACTGTGCTCACATTATCTCAAGTTTAGAAGACAGAACTTGGAAAGTTATTTCAAATCTTTACCTTTCAAACTTCTTCAGCATGCTCAGAGCTTGCCCTGTGCTTTGAATCTTTTCGAATGTGACATCCATGAACCTCTGCAACTCATTCTGAAAGTAGAACAAAACCCTATTACAAACAATGAATTAGCACCAAGATTTTTTTTTTGAGACAGAGTCATCCTATGAGACCCAGGCTAAACACAAATTCACAACTCTCCTGGCTCCGCCACCCAAAGGGTGAGATTAAAAACGTGTGCCACTGTATCAAGAAACAATGAGGGTTTTCTATTTAGCCATAGAAGAAAAGAGATCTACATTCTTCACACCACTTTTAAAAGAAAAAAAAAAAAGTACTAACGGGAGAAAAAAAGGAAGGGAGGGAGGGAGAAAGGAAGGAAGGAAGGAAGGAAGGAAGGAAGGAAGGAAGGAAAGAAAGAAAGAAAGAAAGAAAGAAAGAAAGAAAGAAAGAAAGAAAGAAAGAAAGA